CTCAAAAAAAAAAAAAAAAAAGAACACACTTCATTGGCCTTGTCTGCAAAGGATATTGGAACAAAAGCTTCATGTGGTTCTACAGAAAGTCTTGGTATCCTCATAGAATCACCCACCCCCAGCTCCTCACTTGTGGTCAGGCAGTATAGTAAAGACAGGAAAAGACAGTGAAAAAGTCCTGAGTGCAATACTAGCAAATTTGAGCATTTGACCAGCCCTCTACAGTTTTCTAAGCTCTTTAAAAAATGTAAACACTGGCAGTTTGCGGTGTGCTTACTGACTCCAGGCCAAAAGGACCAGCAATATTGCTTCCTTTTCCCCCAAAAATCACTATCTAATAATTAAAAGAAATTAGGAATAAAAATTTGAAAGCAGAATTACTCAGTCTCCCTACCTGAAGAAAACCGCTATTATCGTTTGTATATGTTACTTTCAAGTCCCTTTTCCATGTGTGGGTTTTTTGTTGTTTTGTTGTTTTTCCAAGAAACCTAATTGTGATCCTTTTTTTGTTTGTTTGTTTGGGTTTTTTTGAGTCAGAGTCTCACTCTGTAGTCCAGGCTGGAGTGCAGCGGCATGCTGCTCACAGCCACCTCAGTGTAGGCTGCTCTTTATTGAGCATTCTGACATAAGTTTTTCCCCTTAGTAACTCTTTATGAGATGTAATTTTTAATGGCCTCATGCTTCCTTATGAGGTTTTTTTTTTTTTTTTTTTTTTTTATAACACAAAACCTACCATGAGTTTTAACAGTTTGTAAGTACTGTCTTCATAACAGAATAACAGAAGCATCTGGTGAAGTTTAAAAGTTTTTTTTTTTTTTGGTCATGAAATATAACTGCCACTCAAAAAAGATCATAAAACACAAATGTCCAGCTTAATGACTTGTGAAAGGAACACATGGGGCAAGACATAGACTGTGGCTGGCATGCTCCAGCCCTCTAAAGGACATGCTTCTTCCCAGTTCCTTTCCCATCTCTAATCACGATCTTGACTTCCAGCAGATCACTTCCTTGCTTTTCTTCATAGGTTTACTACCTGATTGTATATCCATAAACAATAAAGTTTACTTTGGGTGAGTTTACATGTTTATAGATAGTGTCTTATAGTGTGTGTTCTGTTGTCTACCTCTTTTCCTTAACAGCGTATCCTCATGACTCATTAGTGTCGTGAAGTGATATTCCAAGGCACACTATGCTGCAGTTTATGTATCCACTCTGCTGTTGATACACCTTAGGCTTTCCTCTAGCTGGGTAGACTGTTCCCACGAACAGTCTTGTATGTATTTCTGGTGTATGTAAGCACTTCTTTCTGTGTTAAATATACCTTGGGCTAGAATTGCTAGATTCCTGGGCATGTGTTACTGTATCTTCAGTTTTACTAATGTTGCCAGATGTTTTCCAGAGTAGTTCCATCATCACCTTATATCCCTAACAGCAATGAATAAGCATTCCTGTTCCTCATATCCTTGCCAATACTCGCTGTGGTCAAGACTTAAATTTTTGTCATTCTGATGAGTGTGTAAAGTGTCACATTATTTTAATTTGCATTTTTCTTTTTTCAAATGAAATTGAGTAACTCTTTTCTCATTTTCTTCCCCTCTCTGCCTTTTAAAAATTTTTGGTTATTTTATTTCTTTTATTAAATACTCACTTTGTCAAATTTCATCGTCCTTGTTTGATTGTCTTAACTGATTTATAATAGTTCTGTATATATTCTAGATCTTATGACTGTAGTGCTGCTGACTTTCCCTAATGCAGTATCCAGTGGTCCTTGTACTTCTTGGGAACATCAGCTACTTTGAAAATCTGATAGAAATTGTGGAGGAGGAGACTGCTACAGTTACTTACACTCCTCCCCAAAGGATCCCTGAACTCTTGATTAAAATCCCTGCAGATAGTCGGGTGTGGTAGCGCACGCCTGTAGTTCCAACTACTTGGAAGGCTGAGGCGGAAGGATCACTGGAGCCCAGCAGGTTGAGGCTGTGGTGGCTGGGAGCGGCCACTGCACTCTAGTCTGGGTGACAGAGAGAGACTCCAACTCAAAAATAAAATAAGATAAAATAAAATCCCTGCTGAAATGGCTCTCCGAGTCTGTTCAAGAAGGAACTCGCTCCAACCAACACTTGGGGAGGTCCCTAGACAATCTTCCTTCAGCCTGTGACTCGGAGAACAGTGTTCCTTTCTGACACCTCTCACTATTTAGTCCTCATGGGAGGGGTCTGTGTTTTAAAACCTGTGGTCTCTGACAGGGTTTTGGGCCACAGGATGCAGCTGCTTTACTTGCCTCCTCCAACCTCACCACCCAAGCTCCTTTCGCTGACCATCTTTGAATAACCTGTTCATCTATCAGAAACGAAGCCCAGGCAGGAACTCCAGGCCCATGGGTACAGTTCTGTGAGGTGGTGTCAGGTTCCAGGGCCACACAGACACTTCTGTTTAGAAACAGAGAGTGGATCCTGTGTGTTAGTTTCTTAGGATCTTGTGTTTCCTCTTTGCTGTGTGGCTCTTAGTGGTCCCTTACCTGCTGTCCTGCTTCCTTGTCATGCTCCGCCAACTCCTGCCACCACTGAATCTTCCCACTGTGTAAACTGTGTTGTCTTCTCGCTCTTGGACATGCAGTGGCCCTCGTCTTCTCCAGAACAGGCTTTACACCCTTTGACTTCCCATCCACGCTCACTCAGCTGTGTCCCTTGCTGGCCACCCAGCTCCGCCTGGGACTCAGCAGCTGTGCCGAGCCACTCTGGATTCTCCTGGGCTGCATGGGGTGTGCATTGTGGTTCTCCAGAGAAGGACCTTCTCTCCATGTGTGTAGATCCTGTGTCACAACACTACCCAGATGTCGCTGTCTCTATAACATGTACCAATGCTTGCCAGCCAAAAATTGCCACTCCTTCCCAGATTCCTTCCTAAGGGCCCTTGTTTTCCCTTGGAGTTTGTTTCATGGAGCTTGAGGGGCAGAAATCCTGCTGTCCCTGTCAGCTGTGGATTGCTAGTGCTTTCACTGAAGGCTGTTATCAGAAAGCATCTCATACTGCCCTGTAAGCTATAGCAGAATTATAGCCAAAAAGTAGAATTGTTGGCTTCCTTTTCTAGATCATGTTGAAATGTTTTCCCACGTGCTTATACAAAGTTACACTCCTACAGTGATGAGTTTTCCACTTTTTTATGTCCTTGCTGTCCCTTGACATTGTCTGACTTTTTCATTTTTGTCTGTCTCTTAGATATAAAATACTAACTCACAGATTTTCTTTGTACCTTGGTACTAGTGAGATTGAGCATCACATCTCTGTGTGTGTGCCCTAAGCATTCATGTTTCCTCTTCTGTGTTGTGTCTTCATTTCTTTTGCCTAGTTTTCTTTTTTTTTCATTTCTTGGCACTCTTTATATGTTCTATCCTTTTTTTTTTTCCTTTTCTTTTTGATTAAGAGTCTCACTCTGTTGCCCAGGCTTGAGTGCAGTGCATACTCGTGACCACCGCAGCTCTGACCTGCTGGGCTCAGGCAGTCCTTCCACCTCAGCCTTCCAAGTAGTTGGAACTACAGGCAGGAGCCACCATGCATAGCTTATTTTTTTGTTTATTACAGAAGTAAAGTCTCGCCAAGTTGCCTGGGCTGGTTTCACAATCCTCTCGCCTCTGCCTCCCAAAGTGCTAGGATTACAGGCTTGAACCACTGCACCCGGCACCTGTCTATCCTTTGTAGGTTAATAAGAACACATATTTTTCTGGGTTCCTTCTGTTTTGTTCTTCCACCACGTCTAGGGTTCTGTATCCTGTGTGGGCTGGAGTAGCTCCCCATGGTCTACTACCCACCAACAGGAAGGGGGAAGGGACGGGGAGAGGGCACTGCTCCTTTGAAAGTTGAGATTTGGAGGTTGCTTATGTCATGTCCGCCAACATCCAGTTGGCTGGAGCTTAGGTCTCTGGGCACACCAGGCTGCAAGGGAGGCTGGGAAATGTAGCCTACACTCCACAAAACCATTTACCCTACCAAAAATTAGAAGAGAATGGATTGGAGACTATGGTTGGACTGAAATACTTGGGAGAGTTTAGCCCTGAGAAGAGGCTAAGGAAAATAAAATTGTCTTCAAATTAACTGTCTCCTAGTCAACCTTCTTCTGACAAATGTTAATATCCTTCATATTATTAAAACTTCACTTAAAGAGCTCTTAACAATAAATAATATTTCAGCTTGCCAAGCCTGCCTTCATTTTGACCTCAGAAATGCATTTATGATTATCAGAGAAAACATGAAGGGGGAATAATAGGAAATGAGATAACTCTCTAACTACTGAAATGAAATTGTTAATGCATGTATTTAACTAGCCAGTACAAAATGTGGTGTTCATTATTTTTGCAAATGTCGTGGAAGATAGCTTCTTAGTCATTTAATAGTGAACTAGGTCATAGCATCTGTTTTTGTCAAGTCTGCATTCATTTTAAACTAAATTAAACAAGTTAGATGACAGTTTTAGGCTGGTGAATATGGGGATTTTGTGGGTTTAAGACGTTATGGGTTTCTCCCCTTCTCCCTCTTTTCCTTCATATGTTGACTAATGGCATGCATCCTCTAATTTCTCTAGATACGGCGTAAGTCCTGAGAACATCATCCTCTATGGGCAGAGCATTGGGACTGTCCCTACAGTGGACCTGGCCTCGCGCTATGAGTGTGCAGCGGTAATTCTCCATTCCCCTCTGATGTCTGGTTTGCGCGTGGCTTTTCCAGATACCAGGAAAACATACTGCTTTGATGCTTTTCCCAGGTAAGTTCATGCTTGTTTTTGTTTTTGTCCTTTTTGAGTCGGAGTCTTACTCTGTCACCCAGGCTGGAGTGCAGTGGCATGCTCTCAGCCCACCACAGCCTCGACCTGCTGGACTCAGGCGATCCTTCAGCCTCAGCCTTCCAAGTAGTTGAAACCACAGGCACACGCCCCCACGCCTGGCTTATTTTTTGATTTATTGTAGAGACGAGGTCTCACCAAGTTGCCCAGACTGGTCTTGAACCCCTGGACTCAAGCAGTCCTCTCCTCTGCCTCCCAAAGTGCTGGGATTACAGGCATGAGCCACCACACCTGGCTTAAGTTCACACTTGTACAACAGGTGCTAAGTGGGCCCATGACTGAATTCTGATCTGATGCTGCCATTAACTGTGTGTCACTAGTAAATATTTATTGAAAGCAGCCACGCATCAGACCCTGTGCTGGACCACAAGGTACGTCAAGGTGTGTATGACATACACACTTTCCAAAGGTGTATCCTCCTGGGCCTTGACTCACCTGTGAAATCTCCCAGGTGATGTATAAGGACCCTAAGTGTACTGATGTGTAGGGCTAATTGATTCAGCTCTTCTATACATGATTTTAAAAAGCACCCACATATCCTAAAGGAACTTACAGTTCAGTATTCAGTCATCCATTCAGTGTGACATGTATTGTGGAATCACAAAGAACTATATGCAACCTGTGTGATGAGGTAGCTGACAGCCGTCTCAACACTCAGATAAAATCTACTGGCAAGCACAACTTTGACATTTTTTTTTCAACCAGACAATACAGGTAAGGGAAAAGGTGCCATGCTCGGTTAACCTTTGTAAGTAGAATTTAAAAGATCAAGAGAGTTAGCTACTTGGCAGGCCAGACTTTGGTCTTTGATAAGTGGCCACAGGGCTGGCATAAGTTGAGTAGACCCACCTGCCACCCATCTCCTCCTGCTCTACCGCTTTGACCAGAAGCCCTTGCCCTGCTGAGCTGCCCTCACCCACCCAGGGAAGCTGAGAATGAGAGAGCCCACTGCGAGCCTGGGGGCCTCCCTGTCAGCCTGTGAACACCTGTTGTCGTCTAGTTCCCATTAATAGAGGAAAGAAAAATGCACTATAACCACAAAGCAATGAGCACATTGAGTTTTTTTTAATATGCCTGCTTGAAAATTTCTACTTTTTTTAAAATGTAAGATGAGGAAAGTCGTTTTAATAAAAAGTGTTTGTCCCCTAAATTTTTCCCACAGTACATTGCTAAAGTGGCCTGGGCTTGTTACGGCAGGCCTGGCCAGTTCATGCTGCCAGTTTGTAGAAAAAACCTCAGCAGAAATAATGTACAGTTTGGAGGTTTTGATTGACCCATTAATTGCTTTCATTCTGCTATTACTGGGGAAAAAAAGAACATCATTTGGTTACATAAACAACTGTTCCACAGACTGTTTCGTTTCACAGGCAGAAACCTTCTGTTACCACCTTGGGTGAACTTGAGTTCTGAGCAGTTGTATCAGGATTCAGTGAGATTCAGCTTCATGGGAAAGTTGCACTGCACATTTCTAGTGGCATGGCGGAGAATGCTAAGTAGGGCTAATGTGCGTCTCAAATGTGGCCTTATTTGTGCTGAATTGGTAATGAAAGGCCAGTTTGATGAAAGGCAGATATTTAGCATGTTTGTGAGTTACCCTGGCAACAAAGTGAATAGATTTTTTTTTCTGGCTCTTAGCATATACCTTAAAATTCAGCCATGACAGTAAATTGCAACTTATTAACTAATAACAAGTAAACATCTTATGCTGCATTTATCTGATACACCAGTCAGGCTGTGTATTTTGTAGTCATTTTCCTTGTAATTTTCACAACAGTCTTAAGTAGCTGATCTAGTTACTATACTCATTTTACAGACTGGCAAACTGAGGCTTAAAGAGGGTAGGCAATTTGTTTAATTAAGGCTGGTGATGGGAGACAATAAAAAGAGACCATTCCTCATACTTAATACCATAAATTATTAAAATGATAGATTTCAAGCCATTAATGGTTGCATTGACTTTCATCATTATTGGAACTTGGTAAACATTTTCCTGCAGTATCCTTTGTTAAGAAATGACAGAATCACGTTTGTGTTCCTCTCCTTAAAGGAAGATACTTGCATATTTCCTGCTAATAATAAAAAACAATAAAATAAAAAGAAAAAATAAAAGGAATCCTGATCCTTATTTAGCTTTTCATTTGTTTTCTTTTTATGTTCTGTACATTTAGGATCAGATTACAACATTTAACTTCAAATACCCTCTATGGGCAGTAGAGATTCTCTTAAATTGTGCAGCATGGAACATAGTCGCAGGCCCATTGTAACCACTGAGTAAATATCTTTTGTTTTTTGTTTTTTGTTTTTTTGAGTTGGAGTCTCACTCTGTCACCCAGACTGGAGTGCAGTGGCTGCTTCCGGCCACCGCAGCCTCAACCTGCTCAACCTGCTGGGCTCCAGTGATCCTTCTGCCTCAGCCTTCCAAGTAGCTGGAACTACCACGCCTGGCTAATTTTTGATTTATTGTAAAGATGAGGTCTCGCCAAGTTGCCCAGGCAGGTCTTGAACCCGCAGGCTCAGGCAATCCACTCACCTCAGCCTCCCAAAGGTGCAGGATTACAGGCTGAGCCACTGAGCCTGGCTGTCAATATCTTTTTAATTGAGTATGATTGAACTCTCTTAAAGGAAGTCACTTCAAAATTAAATATAGGGAAAAAGTCAGTTTCCAAATAAGATCTGTGATCTGCATGATTGAATACTGCCACAGTGGCTCTGATCTTTGCAAACTACACAGCTAATGAGGTTTTGCAGTCTTGCCGGATGTCTTGAAGCGGTCAGCAGCTCCATGAGTTGTTAGTGAAGGCTGGATGACAGTTATTTGTAGAACGTTGGAATGCGTAATTGACGTTAGAGCTCTTTATTATCTCCATGACCTCATGCCTGGTATTTAATAATCTCTGAGCTTCAGTTCCCCCCCGATAAAACAGAGATGATGCTTCCTCTCTCGTGTTTCATTGAAGATTAAACTAGATTTTGTGTGTAAAGTATAAAGCACCTGGCTTTGGTAAATGTCTAATATATGTTAGCTGTTACTTTCAACAAGATTTCCACAAATAGTACCAATTTGTATCCTTTTGTAACATTGACTTGTTTTAAATATGAAAGAGAAGTAAACCAGAAGAGGCAGGAGGACAGAATGGAGAGAGGTGATTTCTCTAGATTTGTTTGTAGGTTAAATGACTGTTATCCTGTTAGAGAAGTTGTCTACTCACCCGGCTCAGCAAATACTTAAAGCCTTTTGAGTTACTCTCTGGGAAATACTCCCAAACCTGAAGCACATTCTTTGGACGATCCTCAAGTATTCATCCCAGAGCAGATTTGATTTTTGTAGACATGAGTCATTTGGAGTCAAACCTAGGCATTACGTTAGGTTTTCAAGCTAAGTAGTACAGTTTTTATTTTTAAAAATGAGACATTCAGCCGGGCTCGGTGGCTCAGCCTGTAATCCCGCGCCTTTGGGAGGCTGAGGTGAGTGGATTGCCTGAGCCCGCGGGTTCGAGACCCGCCTGGGCAGCGAGACCTCATCTCTATAATAAATCAAAAAATCAGCTGGGTGTGGTAGCGCATGCCTGTAATTCCGGCTACTTGGAAGGCTGAGGTGGAAGGATCACCGGAGCCCAGCAGGTCGAGGCTGCGGTGGCCGGGAGCGGCCACTGCACTCCAGTCTGGGCGACAGAGTGAGACACCAACTCAAAAAAAAAAAAAAAAAAAAAAAATGAGACATTCGCTTTGATGAAATGGGGTTTGTATTTCGTTAATCCATTCTGAAGGTGGCTCTCAAATAAAAATTCTGAAAATTTGAGTGGCAGCAGATTGAGTGTTCAACTTTCCAAAGAGACCTTCATTCAGATATATTAAGTGCTATTTTTAAAAATTATATCTCAGAAATATGAATGTATCAGAAACACTAGCTACTGGTTTGTGAGTCTGATACTTTTCTTTTTTTTTTTGCAACAACAAACATTTTATTCAATTTCAACATTTCCTCAGCATGTTTTCCATTACAGCTCCACCTTCTCCAAGTTCAGTATATGATTTTGTATATTAGGGGAGAAATAAAATCAATTATAAGTGATAGTGCCAATATACTTTTTCCAAATTCTTCTGTGAGCAGTCAGCATTGGAAGCTTAGTATTTTTTTTTTTTTTTTTTGAGTTCGAGTCTTACTCTGTCACCCAGACTGGAGTGCAGTGGCCGCTCCCGGCTACCACAGCCTTGACCTGCTGGGCTCCGGCGATCCTTCCGCCTCCACCTTCCGAGCAGCTGGAACTACAGGTGCACGCTACCACGCCCGGCTAATTTTTGATCTATTGTAGAGATGAGGTCTCGCCAAGCTGCCCAGGCAGGTCTCGAACCCGTGGGCTCAGGCAATCCGCTCACCTCAGCCTCCCAAAGCACGGGATTACAGGCTGAACCACTGAGCCCCGCTGAAGCTTAGTATTTTAAAATATTTTTTATTTTAAAGATGTGGGGTACAATTCAGGGTTAGATATACAAATGTTCATTATGCAGGTACCCTTGTTGATGAGATGTGGTTCCTCCACCCCCGCCCGCCGCCGCAGATTGCCACTACACCCAATCCCACCTTCTCCCCCCACCCCCGTCGGATGCTTTTCAGAGGTCTGTTTTTAATAAAATACTCTAACAAAAACAAAATAGCTAAATACAATGTGGTATTCTTGATTGGATCCTGGAACAGAAAAAGGACATAAGTGGAAAAAAACAGTGAAATCTAAAGTCAAGTTTAGTTAATAGCAATGAACAAACATTGGCATCTTAGTTTTGACAAATGGATCATGGGTTGGGCGTATAGAGGAACTGTTATTATCTTTGCACCTTTCCTGCAAATCTAAAATTATTCCAAAAGAAAAAGTGAATTTTTTTGTTTGTTTTAAGAAAAAAGAATTACTAGAAAAAGGAAGAAAAAGCCAAACCATCCTGATGTGTTAATGCAGGTTCATTAACAGATGTACTACTCTGGTGGGGGATGGGCAGAATTAATCTTTTGGAGAGTGGGTCTCTTGTAGTACAGGCTGCCCCCACTAGGTGAGTGTTCTAGGGACCCGTTGGCATCAGTGTACCTGCCAGTATTGTTGTGAGAGGCTGAATTCGGCTTCAATGAACTTTTTTTGTTGGAGATTCTTTCAGCGTGTCTGCCCATTTCATGATGGGTGATTTACAAGGGCGCCTGCCCACACTGCGCTGAGTGTTCAGCAGTTTTTGACCAAAAATGGCATGACTCCTATGCCCCTCACTCTCTATTTACCTGATCTCGCCCCAAGACTTTTTTTTTGTTTCCCTGGATGAGGAAGGTCCTCAAAGGGAAACGTTTTGGCATTGTGGAGGAGATGAAACAAACAACAGCAGAAGCACTGAAAGGCATTAGAAAAATTGATATGTTCAAAAACTGTTTTGAGCAGTGGAAAAAGCGTCTCGATAGGTGTATTGCATCAAATGGAGAGAACTCTGAAGGTGGCTGAAGTTTCAACATGTAAGAATAAACACAATTTTTTATAAATAAATTCTGTTTTGGGGGTCCCTCCCTATATGGGAAATCTCTGTACCTTCCTCTCAATCTTGTTGTGAATCTAAAACTGCTTTTAAAACATAAAGTCTTTAACAACAAACAAAAAGCCCACATTGCAATTTTCCTGCCTGTGGATGTTGATTCACTTATCATTAAGTGTGATGTGTATTGTCTGTGAGCATAACTAAAGGAGTCCTTTCTCTGCGCCCTCTTCTGTTTTGCAGCATTGACAAGATATCTAAAGTCACCTCTCCTGTGTTGGTCATTCACGGTACAGAGGATGAGGTCATCGATTTCTCCCATGGCCTGGCAATGTATGAGCGCTGTCCCCGAGCTGTGGAGCCCCTCTGGGTTGAAGGGGCTGGGCATAATGACATAGAGCTTTATGCACAATACCTAGAAAGACTAAAACAGTTCATATCTCACGAACTGCCTAACTCCTGAAGACGACCACTTGATTTTACCTCATTTACTGTGAACAGAAGAGTCCTCTGTTTTGCACACGCTTTAACTGGATAGCTGTAATGGCTTGATACCATGAAGAAGTGCCCAACCTTTAGGGTGTTCTAATCAAAGAGCTGATGAAATCTCAGTCTTTTGTATCTAGAGGTTGTTCTACTAATTCACACATGTTAAACTGAACAGTCATGACTTCCAGCTTCATTGCCTGGCAGGAATGGGAATGAGAGCTGAACGTAGGATGGTTTTCTAGTGTAAAGTAGGCTCATATCTGCTTTTCACCCTTCCCCACCATTTCTGACCTGTTTACGCGGGACTCAACCCTGTCTCCACCATGTTCTCAGTATTTGACGTGCAGCTCTCTTTCAACCACTGGATTCATGGGTTCAATCCATTTGTGAAGCTGTGATAGTGTAACTGGAAAACTCTTGTGGTGAAAATTCCTTTATTAATTTTTGTTAACATGCTGATCTTTCCCCAAACAAATGAACTAAAGGGTAATTTACTGGAACTGTCCTGAACAGCTTCATCACCTGTCACCATATAAATACAACTGGAATATTCTTAAACAAAAGGAAACTAGGGGGTTTTTTAAGTGTAAATTTATTACTAGCCAACAGAGTTTTAATATTTTGATTGTCTGGTTGGTTTAACAAAGAGCCTAGCCGACTTTCCTTCTGTAAAGTCCTCCTTGTAGGCTTTTTTAAAAGTACTGTACATATTTGCAATCACATTGTGCATAGATTCCTATTGGGTAGTTTTTCTTTTTGTCAGGCCACAGCAACGAACTGCA